ATTTGTAATTTTACAGATTATTACTCCTTTATTCTCCAAACTTTGAATATTGTTACCTTTTACCTACGGAGGTACTGAATAGGTACACTGTAATTACAAAAAAGTTACGCTGTAAATTCTGTTTACTTACGCAGTACATTGCGGGTTGTAATCTAAAGCGTTACCTACTTTTTTTCATGCACACACCGTGGGTTCACAAACATGACAACACACTTACGCTGTGCGTCTCTGGGGAACAAAATTACAGCTGTGCATATTATGAACCATATTTTCTGGATCAAAAATATGCACCTAAGTTATAAAATCATGCAGCAGGAGGTCTGTAATACCTGTTATCCGTTAGCATTCCCATTCATCTCAATGGCAGCCATCTCATCTGGCGATGGACCCCCTGGAAATACGTGATTTGTAATCGGCTATCTTTGCTCTTCATGGGACACATCAATTTTGAGCCAAGCACTTGAGCTGAAAATTTCATGACTTATCGCGCTGGATCTGCAGCAAATGACAATGCAGACTGGTTGTCAGTCCACACCAAGCAACTAATCAGTGTAGTAAAAGAGAACAGACAGACAAAAATATTAAAGTAATAGACCATTTATTTGGACCATCAAAATATAATAATAATGAAATAAAATAAGTGGACACCTTCTTCTAGGTTTTTTTTTAAAGAAAGTGACAGTTTTACATTGTAACAAAAAATTATATTTTAGATAGATAGATAGACATTAGACATAGATAGACAACATTTACTAATACATTATTAAAATCAAAAGAACAAAATTGTATTTGTTAACTAATATGAACAAACAATGAATAACTGTATTTTCATTAACATTTAACAAAGATTAATAAATACTGTAACAAATGTATTGTTCATTGTTAGTTAATACATTAACTAATGTTAATAAATGACACCTTACTGCAAAGTGTACACAACCAAAAACTGCTCTGAAGATACAGTATATACTAAAGTCAATTTTAAATTGCATCTGTTGTCTAAAACTGTTAAGACAATGTGTAAAATCATAATAAAAGCATCAATCATGAACACATCGGTTACAAACCCATGAGTATTGAAACACTCTGAATAAAATGTCTAAATCAAAACCTTTTAAATAAAAAATTCACATGAAAGAGTAAACAATGGTTCTTCTAAAAAAGTAACACAGTAATGCTCTCAAATAGAAAAATGTGTATCTATTTAAAGATTTTAAAAGATGTAAGTTCTCAGTGCAGGTTTTAGCATGTTGACAGTTATTGTGAAACTTTAGAATGCTATACCTCTCACTGCGGAGTTGAAACTTGTAATGCAATCCATTTAAAGAATCACTACTAAAAATGCTAAAAACTAGTTAACCACACTAATCGATTAATTATTGGAAAACTAGTCAACCACCCAGCCCATCAGTAGTATGCCTGTATGTCCATAAGCAGGTGCAGCAGCAAGTTGTTTATATAGAGGGAGTTATGTCCGTGTATGCATGTCTGTAATACTGCATGTTTTCTTTGAGGTTGTGCCTCTGTAGTTTGTTACAGAGCACAGATGAGATATAAGATATTTAATAGAGATCAGTTTAAGATTCTGTTAATGTGTCTGTTCGCAGGGAAATTAAATTAGCTAAATAATTGCCTTGCCAAAAAAAGGCCCGTCGAGATTTTCAAAACAACTCGCAGCCTCCTTTCTTTAAAGGAAGTTGGTTTTATTCTTTGTATTGTCATAGACTACAAAGACTAATAATGAAATTATGCACTTAAATTAATAATTAATGAACTCACTAAGGGGTTCGTCTTTTCATTTTCTTGAAATATTAAGAATATGACTCCGTTCCACAACAATCGTTGTAACCCAAGTGTACGTAGGTGTGTGCGCTGGTGCTTTTTTCTTAGCAAACAGCCTGGTTCTGGTCCCCCACTGAGATCTCCACTGTCGCACTGCTGTGTGATGGAGAAGAGATGTGTATTTGTGTGTGTGTGTGTGTGTGATACTGGTGGGAGAAATCCCTTTGACTAAAGCAGTGGCCTTGGTCTGCCTCACCTTATCCTCAGGCAAGAACTCCAAAGGAAGCAAGAACAACTGCTAGCAATGTTATGAAAATGCCATCAGGCAAAGGGGCATTACACAACAGATTGTTTCATGAACCCATTATTGTACGCTCAAACACACAATCATGCAAACACACATCCACCCACACGCACATATACACACAATGAAAATGGCATTACTGGGCATGCCAATGTGGGGCCAAATGCTCTGGGGCACAAAGGGAGGAGAGTGAGGAACACAGCTGAGATGGTGGAGATAGAGAAAGACAAATGGAGAAGTTAGGCACAGAGAGTTCTCGGTGTGTTCTCTGAATGTATCATTATCCAGAACTGAAGTTCTGCATGACAGTGCTTCGGAAACACATTTAATTTACACTAACCTTGCCATTTCTATTTTCCCACACACACTTTCTCACTTTTGGAGATTGGTGCGGCATGTCCAGAATATTTACAACCACATAAATACACTGCTGTCCAAAAGTTTGGGGTTGGTAAGATTTAAATAACTGTTTTCTATCTGAATATAATTTAAAATTATTACTGCGATGGCAAAGCTGAATTTTCAGCAGCCGTTACTCCAGACTGCAGTGTCACATGAATCTTCAGAAATCATTATAATATGCTGATTTGCCGCTCGAAACATTTCTTATTATCTATGTTAAAAGCAGTTGTGCTGCTCTTAATATTTTTGTGAAAATCATGAAACATTTTTTTTCTTAGGATTCTGTGATTAACAGAAATGTTTTGTAATATTATAAATGCCTCTACTGTCACTTTTGATCAATTGAATGCATCCTTGCTGTAAAAAAATACTGACCCCAAACATTTAAACAATGTATAGTATAGAATAGTGTATTATTGATATAAAGCAGTGATTTCACTCAGATCAGCCAAAATCTAAGACTTAAATATGAATTCAAAAATGGCTAACCAAATTAGGACTATGCTATAGACACTTACTGTGCAGGATACATGTCAACAATTGTCTCATTAGCTTCTTTTAGCTAACAATTTAAAAGAAACATCTGAGAATCTTGTGACAGTAAACAGAATTAATGAATTAACAGCAAAAATAATTGGTTTAAACAGATTTTCTTGAACACAATCCTTTCCATCAAACTCACACCATTAGTTGACCCAAAGTTGCTGTTTCAAGCTTGTCAGGATGCTGTAAGCTATGAAAGAGCAGCACCTGAGTACTAAACCACTGTCTAGGATCACAATATTTATATTTAAAGAAACTTTAAAACATCAGTGTCAGGCTTTGAATAGTGCCGTATCGCTGCTTCTCAGTTTTCTGGTTCAGACCGGGGTCTTAATGAACGACAGAGGGATTGGTAATCCTCCGTAATCCAGAGAGAAAGAGGTGGCATGCCGTTTGAAGCGAGGGCAGAGAGAAGTTCTCCATTCACCCCCTGCGGTATCTGGCATGCTTTAGCTTGTGTTTGTTTGGCGCAGGGCATAGCACTCTTTCACATTTGTGATTCACTTTGTGTGTACACTGTGGACTTGGCGCTGTCTGTTTCCATTAATGAGGATAAGTGCAGCGCTGTTCTCGAGTTCCACTGCATTTGTGTAGCAAGATCTTTAAAGAACGAAAAGGAAAGGGAGGGGGGGGGCAGTACCACATAGGCCTTTAGCTGCAGGGTTTCTGTTTAAGTCAAATAGCAGATGATGGCTGCCTCGCCTTCAGAGGAGCAGCAGACGGTTAGAAGAGGTTAAATCAAAATAATTCCACCAAAGTCTCTGTCAGAGGTTTTCAGCGGAAGCTTTCACTTAATGTGCGCTATCCAAACATGAACTCAAACTAGTCACTGCTAGTCAGGCTAATGCTACATATATCATTAAGTGTTAATGTCGTCTATCTCATAATGTATGCGTAGTTCTTGTGATTAATGGTTTTAAGTGGTTTTAAAGAGTTTTTAAGGGTTGGTAAAGAAAAGTGATACACTTTGAAAGGAAGGGTAGTTAAAAGAAATGCTTTCACAGTTTTATGTCTTTCTGCACATTGAATGTTTTAAATTAAAATGTGTCTTTTCTCTTCCTTCGTTGTAACTACAGGGCAGAGTCTTGGCTATGGCTTCGTCAACTACATTGACCCAAAAGATGCAGAGAAAGCCATCAACACGTTAAATGGACTCAGACTTCAGACCAAAACTATTAAGGTACGTGACCACACTAGCAGAAACTGTAAACTTGAATAAGCATTTGCCATAAACAGCTTTGCTATAACAGAAATAAATTACATTTAAAATTCTATTAAAATAGACTTAAATTTAAAATTGTGAAAATATTTCGCAATACTACAGTTTTACTGTATTTCTGGTATTTGTGATCAAATACATTTTTGATTAAAATAAAAACAATCAAAATTTACTGACCCCATCATTTTGAACAGAAATCTGATACATTTTAATTTGTATTCCATGATCATATATAAACCTTTTAATAATTACACTACTGTTTAACATTTTGGGGTTGGTAAGATTTAGTGTGTATACACATATATATACATACAGTGGGTACAGAAAGTATTCAGACCCCCTTAAATTTTTCACTCTTTGTTATATTGCAGCCATTTGCTAAAATCATTTAAGTTAATTTTTTTCCTCATTAATGTACACACAGCACCGCATGTTGACAGAAAAACACAGAATTGTTGACATTTTTGCAGATTTATTAAAAAAGAAAAACTGAAATATCACATGGTCCTAAGTATTCAGACCCTTTGCTCAGTATTTAGTAGCAGCACCTTTTTGATCTAATACAGCCATGAGTCTTTTTGGGAAAGATGCAACAAGTTTTTCACACCTGGATTTGGGGATCCTCTGCCATTCCTCCTTGCAGATCCTCTCCAGTTCTGTCAGGTTGGATGGTAAACGTTGACATGCTAAATAGATGCCTAAAATGTGTCTGGTTTTCACTGTGGAAATTTTGATCTGTTCTATTCTGTCATGCTCTGCTACATTTTATTCCATTCTATTCTGTTCAGACACATTGGTATTTTGTCATATTTTGTTCTATTATGTTTCAATTTTTTTAATTCAGTTTTATTTGGATATATTTTATTCTGATCTAATTTCATATTATTCTTATCTGCCATTTTCAGTTTTTTTTGTCATTCTGATGTTCTATTTGATTCTATTTTATTGTCATTTTATTCTATTTGGTTCTGATGTGTCATTTTATATTCCATTCTATTTGGTTTTGTTATGTTTGATTAATGTTCTGTTTTATTCTATTTTATTCTCTTTTGTCATTCTATCATTCAGTATTCTGATCTGTCATTTTGTTTCCTATTCTATTCAGTTTTGTTATATCAATGTTCGGTTTTATTCCATCTCTATTGTCATTCTATTCTTTTCAGTATTCTTATCTGTCATTTTCTATTCTATTCTGTTTTATGCTTTAGCAATGTTCTGTTTTATTCCATCTCTATTGTAATTATATTCTGTTCAGTATTCTGATCTGTCGTTTTCTCCTTTTCTTTTCTGTTTTATTATATTTTATTCTCTATTGTCATTCTATTCTGTTCAGTATTCTGATTTGTCATTTTCTATTCTATTCTATTCCATTTTGTTCTCTTTTGTCATTCTATTCTGTTGTCATGTTTTTTGTTCTGATCTGTCATTTTCTATTAAATTCTATTTTTTGTGTGTGTGTTTTATCAATGTTATGTTTTATTTCATTTTATTATTTGCCGTCTATTTTATTCTCATAGCTGTTTTGATATTCTATTCAATTCCAGTTATGTTCTATTCTGATCTGGTCTGATTTCCTCTATTCTTTTCTAATGTACTAATTTCTGTTCTATTATTAAATTAAATCATGCAATGAAATAGATCCGCCACTATCTGATGGCTTCCATTTTCCTCAGCAGCATTTGTGGTAAATTTAGAAGCAGCAGCTGGTTTTAACAGTAAATTCTGACTGCTGCTCAAGGCATAATCTGGCTGTGTGTGTGTTTTCATCTGGCCTATAATCCCAGACCTCTCACTTACATCCACCCTAATCTAATCAGATTGGATTTCGCCTGCTTATGAAAATACGGCTCAGTGTGCGTGGCTCAGTAACTCTTAACATAACAGCAAAAGAATGTGTGTGTTTGTGTGTGGGAGCAAGAGAAAGAAAAAAGAGAGACAGGAGAAAGAAAAGACTTGTCAGGACTGTTTTTGAAAGAGCACAGCACAATGCTCACAAACATGGGCGTTTTCCAGAGTGGCAGTGTGTATGTGTTGGCCGGCAGTGTTTCTAGTACTGGTTTCCGCATCAGCTAAGAATCCATCAGAGACAGAATGACTCACTCTGTGTGTATTTGCCGATCATCACAGCTTCCCGCCACGTGGCACTTCTCTCAGTGACAAAACACACTTCTAGGGAGGCAGTGATACACATACATAAACACACTGTTAAAACACTGCACTTTTCAGCCAAACACACCTCAGGTTTTTGTTCCCATCTTAGGGCTACAGCCAAATGACTTCTGAGCTGGTTCTTTTTACCATAGCACAATCCTGAAAAATACACAAAAAAAACATTATAAATTTGGCTGTAATTCATGGCTACTTTGTACTGTGAATCACTCAAAAACTCCTTCTAACAAACCATTTATTCAATCAGTTATTCAAGCAGTTACTGAATTAACATCTGACTCACTGAACTTCAAGTCATCATAGCTGTCATTCAACTCTGACTCGAAATAAACCAACATGTTATGTGAACCACATTAGGAAATGAGAATCGTCAGACTTACGTATGATTACTTATATTTGACATTGCACATTCACAATTTTATATTGATGTTGCCACCATTTTATAAGAGCATTGTGAATTTTACATTAAAATTTTTACTTTTTAAATATTAAATATATTTAAAATATGAATTAACGCATTGTATTATTAATAATAATAAATTAATATTATGTTATAATACATTAACAAATTATGATGATTATTATTTTTGTTATTATAGACTGGTATTACATTTAGAGTCAAGGTATTATGTTTTGAAATCTGAAACACTCAAGTGAGCATACAGCGGTTTGGCCCGAGGGCACAATTTAGTGTAACACAAATTTTCATGCTGTCTGTTGAGGAGTTGTCATAACCTGCAGGAATGATGTTGCTGAGCATACTACTTCTAACCATGTTCAATTTCCTTCTCCGCCACACACTCCAACAAATGCAGACTTACAGGTAATGAAGCAAGATGACTTAGCGTGCCTACGTACACCAACAAAACGCATGGTACTGTGCACTGTGAGGTTCACATGCATGATTGATTTTTTGCTTGCGCACACACACACACGAATACTGGAATCGACACAACCAAAGAAGCTCCCATTTCACACACTGTCTAACCCAAGTGCAAAGCAACAAGAAATTGTCTGTCCTCAATGAAAGCAAAAATGCAATGTGGAGAAGAATTTTGGACCAATTTTGCACTAGACAGGAGCTACCAAGTGTTACCAGTGGTAACAATTTTAGAGTGGGGGGTTTAAAAATGTTCCTTTACATTATTGTCACTCTCCTTAAATCACAGTAATTTGTTTGACGTTTGTTCTTTTTGCTTAGTTCACGAGTCACATTTTATGCGATAATTTCATTCTTAAACCGACCAGAATACACAAAATTTAGTGGGTTTGATGCTTGAAGATTTACCCCCACATGTTCTCTGATTTCTCCACCTACTTATTACTCTCGGTGTTCTACGTATAGATCTTTTAGATTTTTCTTCTTTTTTTTACCTTGATGAAATCAGCATTCACTAGCGATTTATGACATATCAGAAATGATATGCTCTTAATGCAAGTCATACATAATTTTTTAGCCGATTATAATTGGTTGAGTGGGCTAAAAGTCCTTGGCCCCTGAGCAATGAAATACAGAAATAGCAACCAAGCAACAGTCAAAATGTGTCTTTTGTTAATCATCTAGATCTTTTAATCTTCATATTTCCTCTCTCTTCATCCATCCGTCTATCTCAACATGGGTTAGAGAAGCCAATGTCTTTATCTCTTTCGTGTGATCTCTCTTTTACACCTCTCACGCTCTCGGCCCTCCTTGCGCGATCTCCTTTCTCTTACACTCAATGAAACCTCTTATTCAGACCAGCACCAGCCCTCTCAAAAGATGCTCTCCTGCTGTAAAAGGCAGAAAATAGATGAAATTCTCTGTCTTATAACTTCTAATAAGTGTGTTCCAAGGTCATCCTTCTCATAAAGCCTCCATCGTAACCCCACCCCCCATCGAGCCGAGATGAAGACAGACCATCTAATAGCAACAGACAGCTGCGTCTAAGAGTGGATGAACGAAAGAAAGGGGAAAAAAGAAGGAGAGGGTAATTATCCGAAGAGCAGTTCCATGCTCTTTTCAGCCGAGCAAGAAAAACGGCATTTATGAGGGCCCTCCTGCTGAAATAAGCTGATGATGTATATGTTTACAAGAGGCTGTTTAGACGAAAAAAAGGAAGTGAGAAAAGACGTCTTTGGCAGATCGCGATGAGTTTAAATTCTTTCGCAAAACGCCGGTGTCAGATTCAGGGTCTCTCAAGCACATCAGCTAATGCAGGAAGTCTATGAAAACAGATCAACAAAGCTGCATCTCACCAGCTGAAAAATAAAAAAAGATTGAGAGTGAGAATTTCACTCCAGTCACAACTTCCACATGCTTATCATTTTGTTACACACACACTTCTCCATGACACTTCTCCGTTTCTCAGCAAAACTACGGCTTTGCCTTCCTGTCGAGGTGTGATGGGAGAAATCCCACTGGGGGCGAGAAGAGCGTAGCCTTGTGCTGTGAGTTACGTGTATACACACACATACACACACACACACACACAAATTGCTCACAGCAGACAGGGTGTTGATAGATCTGACATCTGGAGCTGCTTGACAGGGCAAGAAAAAAGCAAACAGAAAAGAGGAGATGAAAATGAAAGAAGGGAAGAGAGGAGAGGGAAGAGCCTGCCAGGGTTCCATGCCTTTTGCCTTCTCCATTTAAGTGGATTTGAGGAGATTACGGTGGAGTGTTTAGCATGTTTAGCTCAGCATTTGTAGCAGTGTAACAGCCTGTGATGGCTCTGCTGCCCAAATGTCAGAACTAATGAAAATATGAGATGGAAAGGCTGCTTCAACCATTAATGGGAACAGATTAAATTGATGTAAGCATTAAAAGGGCAGGGAGATAGAAACATCTTCCCATCTTGAATTAAAACTGAATTGCTGTAGTGGGAGAGAGCGAGACAAACAAAAACATGCAATCAACAAGAAAATTCAGAAAATGGATATGTTCGCTCAAAAATAAGAAAACAATTGTTGTCATTCTGTACACTGTTCTCAAATTCTGTACTGTCGATTCAAACCCAAAAGGAGTGGAACACGGAAGGAGACATTTTGAAAAAGTACTGGTCGTTCTTTTTAGTACATATACAATAAATTGGGACTGGAGCTTTGCAGCTTTGAAAAGGACACTAAAGCATCATAAAAGTATCCATATGACTTGTGTGCTATATGTATTTATTATGATTATTAAGCAAAATATTACTTGTCTTTATTATTATTCACATTATAAAAATTCAATTAATAAAGAAGCATTACTATTGCAATAATACTCGAATATTGTAAAATAGAAAAATAGTACTTCATAATGATGATGATAATTTTATTTTATAGAACAACAAAATTACAATACTAATATTTATATCTTTATAACTTACTTTGCCTTTAAATGTTAAATTATAAAGCTTTTATTTTGGTGGAAGTTTCTCTTTTGTTGAAAAAAAAATTCTCATTACATTAAAATGCATGCATTTTTTTCTCATTGAATTTACACAATTCATGTGGGTCATACTTCAGGTAGCAAAATATGGAAATCTGTATCAATACGGAAGAATCACATAAATTCTGAGTCTTCTAAATACACCAACTTTGTGCCATTAATAAATTGGAATTTAAGTCATTATTTATTGAAAATCCTGAGGAACTATTATAAGACTTCATGAGAGAAGTAGTGAAAGTTGAATGATGAACAAATCATTCTTTTGAGTTGGACCTTTTAAAAGAAACAATTGATCTAGTTAACAAAAACCGAAAAGATCAGGTTCCCATATCCAGCACTCTATGTGTCAGTCACAGCAGTTAATAGAGTGGAGGGAAAGAATATTACTGAATAATAACTTAAATTGTGGTCTATTCATCACATGAAACAATTTTTATGAAATGTTTGTTATGAAAGTAGTCATGTGAAAAGAAAATATTTCAAATATGAAAGCAGTCATATGGACTATGATATTTTTGGAACTGAAAAAAGTCTCATGGGTTTGGAAATACATAAGGGTTAGTTAATCATTTTCATTTTTGGGTGAACTATCCTTTTGAAAATAATTAGCATTTAAGAAAATCCAGGATGAGCCACAGCACTGAAGTTTCCCACAAGGAATACTTAAAAAAAATACCTAATTATATCTCTACAATTGTGTAAAGTTCAGTGACATTATGGTATTAAATTTGCCAACGGCTCTGAGATTTGATTGAGAATGGGTACAATGGGTGAAAATTGCATCATGTGTGTAAGAAAAGAAAGAGACTGGTATTGGAAGTTGAAAATAAGTACAGTGTGTTTTAGAGTGTGACAGACACTGTCCAAGGTGCTGCAGAGTTTGACTCGTCGAGTGAGCGCTAGATGGAGGGAGTATGGTGGAATGAGCGCTGTCCAAGGTGCTAGTAAGCACAGTGCGCTGATATTAGAGCGTGTGGGGAATGCGAGAGTGAGAGAACTATAGATGGCTTGGCTCTCACTCTAGGCACAAACAGAAGGTTCCAAAGTGTTATTCAGCACAGATGACAGCCAGCCTTCTCTCTCACAATCACACACAAGCTCTTCCATCATGTGTGTTTTCTGAAAACAAATTAGCCTTTATCATTTACTGCTGTGTTTTCAGTGAGGTTTATGAACCTTATTCTAAAAATGAGTCAATCTGTACAACTGTAGAAAAGAAACTAAAACAGTCCAATTATGTGTAATTAAATCATTGCTTGAATATTTTTTTAATTCACTGTCAATACTTGTATTGACATATAACATGGTCAGACATGTGGTTATTGTACCATTGATGCATTTAATAATTTGTTTCTAGACCTGAACTAGGAAAGTATTTAATAGAAAATTAAGTAATGCTGTAAAAAAATAAAATAAAAATCATGTCACCAACTGCATTTATTAATTTAAGTTAATGTGTATATATATATATATATATATAAATATATATTCTAATACATTTTTAACAACTTCAAACTATTTCAAACTGTATAAACATAAATTACAATAATAAAACATATTATTGTAAATAGAAAAACACACATACACACAGTATTGTTCACTGTTCATATTTTGACATTAGCTGAGCATAATAAAGGCTGTAAAGACCTGAACTAGGAAAGTATTTAATAGAAACATATTTTGTACAATAAGGTAATACTGCAAAAAACTAAATAATGATACTATCTGCATATATTCAGTTAATGTTTTACACAAGTTAATGTTTTACATTTAAACTTAAATTATTAAAAAATTGTTTGCAATAATGAACAATACACACTTATAGACACGCATACACAAAATATTTTTCAATGTTATTATAAAACAATGTATAAATGTATATAAAGTATATTATAAATTATATGATAATATAATTAAATGTAATTAATTAATTAATATAATTAAATTATATAGAAACATTTCAAATAAAATTTAAAAACATTAACCTAGAACAATAAAGACTGTAAGAAATATGCTATTTCATTGCTACTTCATTTCTAGACTTATTTAATTATTTATACAAATAAATTACTTCCCAATATTTAAGTGTTTCTGTTTTTCATTACTTTTGGAGACTTTTCAGAGTAGACTGCAATTATGCCTGTAGTTCAAAGGGTTCATGAACTTCAACCATTGTATTTTGAATACCCAATTTCTTGGGTACATTGTTTCTCTTCAGAAACAGGGTTAGAGGTGGTGAACGTTAATGCTGAATTTACATTTTCATTCCTCCTTTGAGAAAATTTGCAAAGCTCTTTAGATGTCATGTGTATATCCCTTATCTGTGAATGAGCATGGATCACAGAGAATCCCTCACAGCAAGTTGTTCCTTTTCAAACTATTATAATAAGTCAAAGGGATTCTTCATTGTTCTTAAGTGGAGGATTTGGGGGCATTATCTTTCTGAAGTCTCTAGCTGCTCCAGGTCAATGCAAGAATACAGACCACCAGCACAGTGTGAGACAGAACAGGTGCGCAGACGACCTCTGGCATCTGAATGCTGCATATTGCCAATGCAAGATGTAGGTTATAAATCGCCTGAACAAATATCCTACAAAAGTCAAAATGAAATTAAATGTTTAACAAGCACATGTGGAGTTCAAGAGAACAGTTTCCAACATTTTGATATCAAATCCTACCACATAAACCACTATAGTTTGATAATTGCAACAAATGCTCAATGTGTTTGTGTGTTTTTTGTCTTACAGGTTTCATATGCACGGCCCAGTTCGGCTTCTATCCGTGACGCTAATCTGTACGTGAGTGGGCTGCCCAAGACCATGACCCAGAAGGAGCTGGAACAGCTCTTCTCTCAGTACGGACGGATAATCACCTCCCGCATTCTCGTCGACCAGGTCACAGGTATCAGTGGGACCGCTTTTCTCTCACCCTGTAGCATGCAAACAAACAAACAAATAAATTCTCCTATTTCGCATAAAATAATCACACAAATCCACAATCTATTCGAAGATTTTACTTTATTGCGGCCTCTTGAATATATTCAGTACAGTTAAAGCCAAAACATAAGGAATTCTGCAACTCTTTGAGTGATTTGTTGGCTCCATATTAAAGTTGGAGGAAGCCAGGCTTAAATGGCATCATCTAGTCTGATTTTGCAAAAAACAGACTAGTGTGATTTAATAATTTCCATGACATTTAAAAATTTTTTGCTTTAGTCAGACTGGAATCGAACTTGTGTATGTAAAGTGTATGTAAACACACTTAATGTGTACTAATACAGGGTTTCTGCAGGTTTTATGGAGATAAATTTAAGACTTTTTAAGACCAATAAATAAAATTTAAGGAAATTGAATGGAACACAATACATTATTAATATGGTCTTCAGATGTAAAAGTTTTGTATCAGCAACACTTCAAAGACTAAAAATAGAACTTCCAATAGATCTCCATTATTTTTAATTAATATTACAAAAATGACTGTACCATCTGATCACACTGCAAAAAAGTGCAAATTCTGCACATTCTTAAATCAATATACATTTACTAGAGAACCTAAATTATATAAAATAAGGAATCTTGTTTTATGAGAAATTTATCAAAATTGAGTTTGATAAATTCAAAGGAAAAACAAGCCTACGGACAGATATTTGTTCTTTTTTTAAGCATAAACTCAATTAATTTAGTTCAATTTCTCAGAAAACAAGACTTTATATGTTTTTGCATTGCAAGTAAATTTGATTTAAGGATATTTTTATATTTTTATTGGAAAACAAAAAATACTGAGGGATATATATATTTTTTAGTACATGCTACATTTAATAACTTAATTAAACTTAATAACTTAAACTTTAATTTGTTTAAGGGTGACTTTTAAGACTTTTTAAGACCCACAGAAACCCTGAAATAGACACACACAAATACACACCAGCTCAACCATATAGTCATCTTCTGTGTGTAAATGTACATTGTTGTTTGTTTGCATTTGATCATCAAACAGCAGAACCAAGTTCATGACATGGAAAGACTGATGAGTCTATTTTAAAGCATCCAGCCGTCTCCTTGGCCTATCCTTCCTCCAACATTATGAATAAATCAACCAGGATATAAATGGTCATGGAGCTGAATTTCTTACACATTCAATATTTTTTTTTACAACTGCATAATTCATAATGGCACTTACCATGCAAACAATATTGTATAAGCCACAGGAAAATGTACTCCATGTTCTAGTGGTGCCAAACTCTTTCTGAAGAACTGCTGAGGAATGCTGCATGGTCACATGCACACATACACACACACACACACACACACACACACACAGAGGCCTTCCTCCCTTGACACAGATCCTTCCTCTGGCCTTGCAAAGGCTTCCCGGGAGAAAAGGGTCTGGAGGGAGCTTAATGATTCATTAAACCCGAGTTGCTAGAGATTAAGAATCAAGGAGTGTTTTCTTTTTGAAGCTACTGATCGGAGGGCTGCGTAAAGATAGGAGCAAATCTTACAACTCTTCTGTGAAGCCCTAAAAGCCAAACAAGGATTCTGCATCGGTCAAAAAAAAGTTGAACTCTGAAAGAGGGATTAGACGTGTTACTCAAAACCAGTTAATAGTTTAATTAAATCTGACATGAATGTTGACAATTCAGATGAAGTCACCAGTCACATGGGCCATCCATATGCTGACAGGATCTGATCACTGCAAGCCATTAGTTGTACATTTGCCCCATATCTGAATACTGATGTCATTAACAAAACAGAACATTTTGAACAGGTGCATTTATGGCAAAAGAATGATTCACAGCATCTACTCTTGAACTAAGTCACTAATACTGAATTTCTGAATCAGTTGATGCCTCACTGAAACACATTAGTATGGAATACCATGCACAATTAGGATAAATTGTTTATTTTTTGCCAAAAATACTGCAAGAATCATTAAAGGAATTAAGAAAGTATAATCAGAATCTCAACCAAAATCAACTTCTGTCCCTACTCATTAATGTGTAAATCAGTGTGTCAGTTTGGTAGCCCTCACAAAGCTAGCATGATGTCAATCAAGATGGCAATGAGCCATCTGCTACATGCTTCTTAAGGCAAATCTAATTCTGTGTCATATTCCTCTATACGCCACTTTCAAGAAAAACACAGCATCCTGAAATACGACCGAAAGTCATTAATAAAGACAAACACATATGGCATGATAAACTAACAGTGGCTTTGCCTTTCTGAAATAATAATACATCATACATCCTTGTCATAAGTTTCTTGGTAACAATTAGGGAAGCATTTTCTCTGTTCGCCCTCACAGAAATAATGTATTGCGATGGAAGTCCTCTTCCCACATGTCTCATTTATGTAACTCGTTCCCTAGGGTGTGTCTGTTTGTTTTGAGTTTATTGGGGAAACGTGACTAAATTACAGGGATTTGAAAAGCTCTTGAGCATTTGACTGAATCCACGGCATGAATACTTAAACCTAGCTTGTAACCTAAGTGAAGTATGATAGGTTTGGCCCTTTGATCAATAGTCAAATATTCAGAGAGGCTCCACCGAGCCTTGCCTGGCAGTCAATACATGTCCCGTCAATGAGAGCAAATACAATTGATCCATAACGCCGGCTCCTACAAGCTGTGCCTCTTAAGTGAAAAACGACTGCGCTCCCATGAGCTACTTGTAGAAATCCTTCTTTTAAAATGCTACGCTTTCTCCTCTTCCGCCGCCTTTTCTTTTCTCGCTCATTGATATTTTCCTATGACTTGAATTCCATTAACTATACAGTGTGAGCGCGCTGTCAGGAATGGTTTGAAACACAACGTCAAAATGCATTTGAGCCAACGTTGCACGACGAGTGTCCAAATCAATGGAGGGAGCTTAATGATTCATTAAACCCGAGTTGCTAGAGATTAAGAATCAAGGAGTGTTTTCTTTTTGAAGCTACTGATCGGAGGGCTGCGTAAAGATAGGAGCAAATCTTACAACTCTTCTGTGAAGCCCTAAAAGCCAAACAAGGATTCTGCATCGGTCAAAAAAAAGTTGAACTCTGAAAGAGGGATTAGACGTGTTACTCAAAACCAGTTAATAGTTTAATTAAATCTGACATGAATGTTGACAATTCAGATGAAGTCACCAGTCACATGGGCCATCCATATGCTGACAGGATCTGATCACTGCAAGCCATTAGTTGTACATTTGCCCCATATCTGAATACTGATGTCATTAGCAAAACAGAAAATAGTGATTTCGTACTATTTTCTAAGTCACTGTTACTGAATTTCTGAATCAATTGTATACGTATATATATATATATATATATATATATATATATATATATATATATATATTGTCAGTTTGGTACCCTTCACAAAGCTAGCATGATGACAAGATTTGCCTTGATTTTAAGGCATATCTAATTCTGTGTCATTTTCCTCTGTATGCCAGTTTCAAGACACAGCATCCTGAAATAACAACGAAAGTCATTAATAAAGACAAACACATATGGCATGATAAACTAACAGTGGCTTTGCCTTTCTGAAATAATAATACATCATACATCCTTGTCATAAGTTTCTTGGTAACAATTAGGGAAGCATTTTCTCTGTTCGCCCTCACAGAAATAATGTATTGCGATGGAAGTCCTCTTCCCACATGTCTCATTTATGTAACTCGTTCCCTAGGGTGTGTCTGTTTGTTTTGAGTTTATTGGGGAAACGTGACTAAATTACAGGGATTTGAAAAGCTCTTGAGCATTTGACTGAATCCACGGCATGAATACTTAAACCTAGCTTGTAACCTAAGTGAAGTATGATAGGTTTGGCCCTTTGATCAATAGTCAAATATTCAGAGGCTCCACCGAGCCTAGCCTAGCAGTCAATACATGTCCCATCAATGAGAGCAAATACAATTGATCCATAACGCCGGCTCCTACAAGCTGTGCCTCTTAAGTGAAAAACGACTGCGCTCCCATGAGCTACTTGTAGAAATCCCTCTTTTAAAATGCTACGCTTTCTCCTCTTCCGCCGCCTTTTCTTTTCTCGCTCATTGATATTTTCCTATGACTTGAATTCCATTAACTATACAGTGTGAGCGCGCTGTCAGGAATGGTTTGAAACACAACGTCAAAATGCATTTGAGCCAACGTTGCACGACGAGTGTCCAAATCAAAGCCTGTCGAACACAAAGGATCTGTGATGTATACAATGAATCGAGATGCTCCACCAGACATTGACACCGCTGCCTTGGCCTCCAATTACACAAGGACAAACAGATGGATTTATAGCCGTGCGCTGGCAGAACCAGGCAAAGAGCTGCTCAAGTCTTCAAAGACCTTCCTTACTGAGCCTTTTCAAACACCATCTGTAGCACAGCAACTAAAAGTTACATAAAACAAGGACGTCGCTCTCCTTTCTCTGATTAGGCAGAAGCTACGGTGAAAATGTGTACGCTTTTTTTCCCTCATAATATATTTAGCGTACTAGTTTAATAAATGTTCCATACAGTTGGCACAGCCACTTAAAAGTGAGAGAATGAGAGACAATGGAGAGGTGCTTATGTTCAGACAGAGGAGGGAAGGCTTTCATTAACAGCCAAGCTTTTCTGAGCTTTCCCTTTTACCCCAGAGGACTCTCTCTCTCTCTCTCTCTCTCTCTCCTGTACGCAGTAAGTGTTGAGGACCAGAACAGTGGGTGTGCAGTAGAAAGCGCTTTGTCAGGCCGGCTATGGCGGTCTCTTGCCACTGTTTCTTGAGCGCTCGCTCTGTGTGTCACGGTTATTATTAAACTCAGCATTCTCCGGCTTCATGTGTGCTGAGCCGAGATAAGTACAGGTAGAAAGTTACATAAGGTAGGAGTGATTACCGGGAGAATAGTGCTGTTAACTGGCACATTGTAGCCGTAACTCTGTTCGGTTCATGATAAGCGCTAAAAAGGAGCTAGCGGTGGCAGTGTCTCCGGTTTTAGCCCGGCCGCTCGCTTTGTTTAGGCAGCCTGTTATAGAAACGGCTGCAGGCTCATTATGGTAATGTCAGGGAAGTGAGGGGAAAAGAAAAAAGTAAAGCACAGTCAACATTAAGGCGCCCATTTGCATTTTTTAACCGTCAAACTGCGAGCTTTTTTCTGGACCCTAATTTTAGCGATTCTGCAGGCGTCTGATAGATCGTCAGCTGTTTGCTGAGTCGCAGCCTGAATGACATTGGTCAGCACTATTTCTACCCGAGGAAACTGAGATCCCATCACAATTTCATTAGTTGTGTTAGTGCACAATGCAGAAACCCTCTGGATTGAATCATACTACAGACTACCTACCCTAAGGCTCTAAATTCAAATTACGGAACTGAACCAGAATTTAAAGGTTTTCTTAATTCAATTCCGAATGATACACGACCCTAAATTTATGACTTATGGCAAACGTAGTCTATGTTTGGGATGGAATACTAGCATACTGGTACTCCTGCATACTGTGCATATATAATAAAAAAAGTAAAGTAGTATGTTTGTATGATTTTTCCAAACATAGCCATATCATAAGTTTGGTAGGACTTGACCTTTAACATCTGAGTCCATGTCTGGCAATGACTTCACAGGCAGCATTTTGTGTATGGAGATGCCATCAAAAGAAACTGGTTTTAGATAGGCTTCCAAGTCACATCTAATGAGCTAAAACAACAAAAAAAAGTCTAGTTGTTTCTATTTATTCCACCAACCATCAAACCGCACATTGTGGGATATGCAGAGGAAACGTCTCTGCTGCCTTCAAAAGCAAATAAGGCATTATGGTAGACAGGATGTTACCAGACACTGGATTTGGACATGTCTTGATGCCTTCCTCTCCCAGATTTTGGACTCAGTCGGTCTTTGTGTTCATCCTAAACAAGCAAAAGCAAAGATAGCATATAGTTTATGTCAGATCCATCAGTTCATTCCTGCACACTTTTAACTGACAGACAGAAACAAAAAGTCGTCTAGTTTTGGATCAAAATGTTATGAAACGGAATGTGTAATCTCTTGTATTTTTAGATACTTGAGCTGTTGCATGTCAAATGTCTTCTAGACAGAGAGAGGAACCGAGAGAGGAGGTGTCATTCCCAGTTTCCTCTATCTGCTCCACTTTCGAAGGATTCGGCTTTGACCTCAACATCACTCTGCGGTGAGCACGAAGCTAACCGTGCATCCTAAACTCTCTGGAATAATGCATGCTTTTCGTTCCTCGAGCCTTTACTTCTGACGGTCTAATTAAAGAGAGCAGGTTTTAGGAAGGGAGAGGGAAAAGTGAAAAGCTGTCAGGAATGACTCACGCTGCGAGGGAAAGAAAGTAATGCAGCCGCAGTCTGAATGAAAGCTCACTGCATTGAAAAGATTGTGTGCAAATATTTGTTTGCAGAACGGAACGTATCAAAAGACACTGCTTTGAATAGACAATCAGGCAGCACAACAGAAAACATCAATACTAGCGGGTGACAGCTGAGAGAGTGAGAGGAGAACGAACTGACAATATAGAAAGCAGACACACACACTCGGCACTCGCACACAAATACGTGTTCATTGTATTATGCAAATTGCCCTCTTGGCAAGTCGTCTCCACACGCACCTCCTCAGAGCAGAAGGATCGTCTCATTAAAAACCAACCCAACAAAAGACCTCCCAGTATGCCAGGCTCTTTTAAATGCTACTTTCAGGTAGCGTCAAAACCATTGCCTTGGAAACCACGGAAATGTCGCGGACAAGCTGCATACCATGAGGCGGCGTGTGGCCGTCAGCTGCCGCAAAGCAGACACAGCGTGAGGCCGTCGCACACACGCGCTCAATTTCCACACCAGCGGGGCGACAGCATCAATATCGCCATACTCTCTCATGAAGAAAAAAAAGAAATTACACATCTGCCTAACAGCACCGGAATGCTGGCCGGCCAATAGAATTTCCCCATTCTATTGCGCCTCATTTGCATAATGTGACTCCAGCAATAGGATCCGTCACACAGGCTGCATATCACGGTCATTTGTCGTTTTCAACGCCAAATCATTTTCGGTCTCTAAATATAGATATGAATCACTCTGAAAGAAGGTGTGCAAGACAGGAAGTGTGTGCATTTGTGTGTTTGGTGCATTAAAGTCATGTTGGAAAGATCGTATTTACTAGTTGAACACACATGAAGGCCAACACAAAGTCCTAATTATGAATGGCGATGGATTTATATGTTTTTATAAGTTTCTTTAAAGAAGTAGTTCACTTACAAATAAAAATTTGCTCACGCCTAAGCCATCCAAGATATACGTAGCCGAGTTTCTCAGAACAGATTTGGAAAAACGTAGCATTACGTGCACTTGCTCACCAATGGATCCTCTGCAGTGAATGGGTGTCGTCAGAATGAGAGATCAAACAGCTGATGAAAACATCAAAATAATCCACAATTAATCAAAATGATTCCAGTATATGTATTCATATCTTGTGAAGTGAAATGATGCGTGTTTGTAATAAATTCATTGCTTCTGTCCAAAATCCATAATAACGCTTCCTCCAGTGAAAAAGTCCATCCCCTGTTGTCCTCTCACATCAAAATCCACCTACATGTTTGTTTAGAACTGTTTTGGATTGTTTTCAAATGAGGCAACATTTTCCACTAATTAACAGGAAGCAATGGTTTGACGTTTTAATGATGGATTTGTTTCTTGCAAACACAGCTTTTCACTTCCCAAGACGTTAATTTATGGACTGGACTGCAAATTTCCATTTTTGGGTGAACTATTCCCCAACTATTATAGTTGGGGGCATGTCAGTGAAAAAAACAAGACATTCTGACGGCACCCATTCACTGCAAAGGATCCATTGGTGAGCAAGTGATGTAATGCTAAATTTCTCCAAATTTGATCCAACGAAGAAATAAACTCATCTACATCTTGGATGGCCTGTAAATTTTCAGCAAATTTCCATTTTTGGGTGAACTATTCCCCAACTATTATAGTTGGGGGCATGTCAGTGAAAAAAACATGTCGGATACAATGGACATAGCATCTGTTTTTAAAAGAAGAGAAAAATCTAGCTGAAATTTTTGTAGAAAAGGTGCATTACCATCTTGCTCCGACCAAAGCGACTTGAACACACTGGCATTGTAATTACAACTTTCCAACACGTAAATACGAACTTTCCAGGAGGACTTGAACATACCATTAATGTTGCTGTTGCAGACCGGATAAAGCCAGTAAGCGTATGGTGTGTTGTTTCTGGTGTGCTGGCCCCACAGGTGGCTCGCGGGGTGTGGGCTTTATTCGCTTTGATAAGAGGATAGAAGCGGAGGAAGCCATCAAGGGTCTGAATGGACAGAAGCCCTCAGGTGCTGCCGAGCCCATTACGGTGAAGTTTGCCAACAACCCCAGCCAGAAGACAAGCCAGGCACTACTGTCGCAGCTGTACCAATCCCCCAACCGCCGCTACCCTGGACCCCTCCACCACCAAGCGCAGAGGTTCAGGTGAATACAATCAGTCTACAATAATAATATGTATATTTTCTTACATAGCTTCCTTTGAAACTCACATAAAATTTGGTGGAATTGCAAGGCAAAATAGGTGTCTGGATTATGAAACTGTTAGAGCTCAAGCTGTGTGTCACGTCACCACTGAGGAATAGCTGCTCCCAAAAACCTGCAGAAACAAAATGAAAATATTCAGGAAAAGAAACCGAAGCGAAGGACTGATAAGAGACAGTGGGGTTCTGTCATTCACAATGTCCCTCTTATTTCGTTTTCCTCATACACCATCCTCCCCCTTCTTTAATTTCACATCTGTTCCTTTCATTTCAGTTCAGCAGGCCAGCAATAACTTCACTCTGGCAGCTAACTCCTTTACAGCCCTGGGCAGCGCTTCTCAACCTTTTTAAAGGCAATGTGAAGTGAATTTTCTCTATCGTACCCAAACACTACGCATCTAGTTAGTCACAGGCAACAATAACAACAACTTTTTGATCCCGCCATTGAATTGCAAGGTCTTTGCTTAAGATCTCCTTTCCTCGCAGGCCAATTCACATTAACTATGAGTCATGTCTTATGAGCTTCCAGCTGGCAAAGCCTGCCAAAATACATGGTCATCTTGCAGTGAAATTTTATTGCTTAATAGCAGCAGATATCAATTCACAATCAAGCAGACATTGAATAAACAGGTGCATCTCAATAAATTAGAATGTCGTGGAAAAGTTCATTTATTTCAGTAATTCAACTCAAAGAGTGTTAGCTTTAGCCATTTAGCATAATTTTACTTAGTGTTTTTGTGCTTTTAGGACATGAAGAACTTGGTTTCTTGGTTTACCACTGCTTATACATGCAATTTACGTATGCAAACTTATTTTGAACATTGGCAACTGGGTATAATGTTATGTTCCAGGGCTCCTGTACTGAAAAAAAAATACATTATGAATTGCACATAACTTTTGAGGTCAGAGTTCACCTAAAAATTAAATACTTTTACACATCTCTGTTAACAATCGTATGAATGGAAGCATAACGGACTCTAGTATGCAGCTCATAAGAACCATTAAAAATATTTCATTATTCAGCTGTATCATAAATATAAAATACTTTGGATGAGTTACAGTCTATCTCCTCTAGACGCATGAACTGTCGGTGTGATGTTTACTTTAAAGCAAGAGATCTTTTGTTTAGACAAACAGGACTCGTCAAGCAATTAGCACTGCACAGCAATACTGATAATAGAAATCAGTAATTAATTCCTCATACATCACAAGCACTTATTATTGAAGAGATCTGAAAAGGTTGAGTCCTATTTGCATGTATTAGTCGGCTGTACAAAGGCCTCATTGTGTTGTGTGTGTGTTTGGAGAGGAAGTGTGAAAAGCTGTAGGCCAGGCCAAGCGGGGTTGAGATACGCCTGCATATATCTAACACATCGCCTGCTCTTGCACCTCAGAGCCCTCTCTCCAATTAACTAATTTACCCACAAAGCAACCTGCCTACCTAATTGGCATCTTAATGACTCGACACTGAATGTCCTCGTTTAATTTTGGCTTCATTTTTTTCTCCAAGTTCACAGAAGGCAGAGTCACCAACTGTTGACCCACTGCGAAGAGGGAGGGCCAGCATGTGTACGTGTGTGTTTGTCTGGAGAAGTTTAGTTTGAAATGTGAGAAAGCAGTAATTAGCCCTCTCTTCCATCTTGCAGTTTTAATAGGAAATGAGACAAGGCCGAGCCGAGTGAGGGACGGAGGTCACAGAGTAGCCAAACAGACAGAAGCCTAAAATAAGAATGACTGATGGGGAAGGAAAGCTTAATATACCGGCCCGCTGGGTCACTGGGGCTAATAGAGAGACCGCACAAGAAAGAGACAGCAAGAGGAAGAACGGGCACTCCCAGTTAATGCTGCATTACATCCTGCCTACAACTTCATTGAAATGTCATTTTATATTAAAGTTTTCAGGTAGGCTGAAGGATGGCCCCAGACCAATTTCATCTAGCATATTACTAGCATATTATCTGCACATGTTCAGACACCAAGATTCATTCTTAATATATCATTCGGAGTATTTTTTTATGATTCATTTATTTCTCTTTTTGAGTTTTATTTTCAATTTGCTCATATCCTTCTTAATCATTCTTTAATTGTCACTATAGAAATACATTACAGTATTGCAATTTACTCGAAATATACACATTCTGTTCTGGGCGAATTTAACCGAATTCTCCAATTTACTGTTATATATATACAGTATATATATATATACAGTATCTCACAGAAGTGAGTACACCCCTCACATTTTTGTAAATATTTTATTATATCTTTTCATGTGACAACACTGAAGAAATGACACTTTACAACAATGTAAAGTAGTGAATGTACAGCTTGTATAACAGTGTAAATTTGCTGTTCCCTCAAAATAACTCAACACATAGCCATTAATGTCTAAACCGCTGGCCACAAAAGTGAGTACACCCCTAAGTGAAAATGTCCATATTGGGCCCAATTAGCCATTTTCTCTCCCCGGTGTCATGTGACTCATTAGTGTTACAAGGTCTCAGGTGTGAATGGGGAGCAGGTGTGTTAAATTTGGTGTTATCGCTCTCACTCTCTCATACTGGTCACTGGAAGTTCAACATGGTACCTCATGGCAAAGAACTCTCTGAGGATCTGAAAAAAATAATTGTTGCTCTACATAAAGATGGTGTAGGCTATAAGAAGATTGCCAAGACCCTGAAACTGAGCTGCATCACGGTGGCCAAGACCATACAGAAGTTGAGTGCACGTGCTCAGCATCATATCCAGAGGTTGTGTTTGGGAAATAGACGTATGAGTGCTGCCAGCATTGCTGCAGAGGTTAAAGGGGTGGAGGGGCAGCCTGTCAGTGCTCAGACCATATGCCTCACACTGCATCAAATTGGTCTGCATGGCTGTCGTCCCAGAAGGAAGCCTCTTCTAAAGATGATGCACAAGAAAGCCCGCAAACAGTTTGCTGAAGACAAGCAGACTAAGGACATGGATTACTGGAACCATGTCCCGTGGTCTGATGAAACCAAGATAAACTTATTCAAGACGACCACTGCCTTGCTAAAGAAGCTGAGGGTAAAGGTGATGGATTGGCCAAGCATGGGCATCCTCAAACAGAAGGTGGAGGAGCGCAAGGTCTCTAACATCCACCAGCTCCGTGATGTCGTCATGGAGGAGTGGAAGAGGACTCCAGTGGCAACCTGTGAAGCTCTGGTGAACTCCATGCCCAAGGGGGTTAAGGCAGTGCTGGAAAATAATGGTGGCCACACAAAATATTGACACTTTGGACCCAATTTGGACATTTTCACTTAGGGGTGTACTCACTTTTGTGGCCAGCGGTTTAGGCATTCATGACTGAGTGTTGAGTTATTTTGAGGGGACAGCACATTTACACTGTTATACAAGCTGTACACTCACTACTTTACACTGTAGCAAAGTGCCATTTCTTCAGTGTTGTCACATGAAAAGATATAATAAAATATTTACAAAAATGTGAGGGGTGTACTCACTTCTGTGAGATACTGTATATATATATAATTAGAAAATATCCCACATTATTTAAAAAACACCTAAAATGTCTTAATTAGATATACAGACAGACAGGTCAAATGAAAAATATATGGCCCAATTTACCTGAATAAATTTAAGCTCCTGTTTTTGAGGCGTGGCTTCCACTGTATCGCCGTCCAGCTCAGGGTTATTTACTGCAACTTTAAAATATAAAATATATAAAATATATTTATATATTTATCATATTAGAAAATATAGCATACACAGATATAAATAAACACCAGTACATTAAAAATAATCCTTAATTTAAGTATAGCTCCCCACATTGTTTGAAAAAAAAAAAAAAGATATATATATATTAATTGATCTAAATAATTAGAGCGTTCAAGTCAACCTATTGCAGTTTGTATTTGTATATATGTTACATAAATGATGTAGTGAATAATATTTTAGGACTGCAGCACTGTTAGGCTAAACAACTGAGTGGGCATTCAAGTGACCTACTGTTATCATCACTACTGCTGCAAGTCTGCTGTTCTTTGGATGTATGATTGACTATGTGAGATGCCTGATGGGGCAGAACAGTGTAATGGCCCATCGCTAGATGGGCGTCTTCCTTCAGTGAGGCAGGGATGTAGCATTAGTTCCACTGAGTGAGTCAACCATCTGCCTGGCATTAACCCCAGAACCCTCCTTCTCTTTACAGGCTGGACAATTTGCTTAATATGGCCTATGGCGTTAAGAGGTAATTAAAACTTCACCGAATGCCAGATGTCCATGTTGACAGTATGATTTTTTTCCCCCTTCTTTTTTGAAAATCACATGCATTCAGTTCAAGGTTTTTTTCCCCTTCTCTTTAGTTCTTTTGCTTCTTTCTACCTTTTTTTTTACTTGATTATTTTTTATTTCAACCTACCGATCAGTAGCCCTAAAAAGTGTAAGTATCTTTTATAATTTGTAGGTGTTTGATTATGATGATTCTAAATTTTTTGAGTTCCGTTTTGGTATTTTTTGTTTTATTGTTGTACAGTTCCCGTTTTGAAGCGTGGCTTCCACAGGATTCAGGGGCTGAAGCCGTACCTCCGTCCAGCTCAGGGTAACACACTGCCAACAACTGAACAAAATTATGTATATTCCCAATGCATTACATTTACAACAGCTAAAATGCATGGATCGATGGAAGGCTATTATGTTTTTCGTCTACTTGTTTCCATTTTATTTGTTGGAATGAGCTAGTCTAGAGCGAGACGGAGGGGGTGACAGCTCACCTGGATCCCTGCAGGAAATGTAGTGTTTCACTGCAGGTTTATGAGCCTCTGATCAGTTGGGTTTGCTCATGTTGTTTTTGCTTTGTGCTGCTGTGGATGTAGTGAAAAGGCTTGTTTTGAACATGTTTTAGTGCTTATGACATTTTGTTGCATATTTTAGTATCTATTGAAACACTTTGATGTCCCTCGAACACCAAACACTCAAGGCTAAGATTGAGGGAGTAGCATGAAAAGATGTGCATTCTGCACATTTCTTTTTTTCAGATACCTCTCCGTTAAGACTAAAGGCTCTGCATTTACTAGATTTCTTCTCTTTCTAGAAAAGTCCTTTGCGCTTCAGCGCTGGCTGATCAGAATGAACCAATCTGACATTTGTTGATATAAAACATGTTTTTTTTGCAAAATCTGACAGTTACACGGGAAGTGCAACAATAGGATATGAACAGGATATGCAAACGAAGCAGCGGTGTCTTTCAAAACAAATGACGAGACGAAAGATTCCTTTTTATTTACACTCACTACGATCAGCTGTCAAATAAGGCAGTCTGCCTCAAGAGAGGGAAAATTTAGGGGAGATGAAACCGACGGGGGGTTAGGGAGATGTTGTGCTCACAGAGCATGCCATAGAAGGTAATTAATAAACAAAGACCAGTCCGAAGAAGTGAGCATCGCTAGGTGAAGGTGGGCAGCTTGGAAGGGTGGGATGGCTCTAGGTCAGTCGCTTGTTGCTATGCAACTCCTCATCCAACTGTTCACCTTAATTCGAACAACAGACAGCGCTCGGCCCTGCCCTAGTAGTCACCAGACACCTCTGTGTCAGCAATACACTAGTCCGACCCTCGCCCGCAGATGACTGGCATCCAAATTACCACAAAGCCAAATTCGATGAATAACGGCTTCGGATTCATTATTTACACAAAAATACCAGCATAATTGAAGTCATGAGATGGTTGCTTGTCACAAGGCGCAAAGTGAGCCGACTTACCCTTAATTTACATAATGAGACGCAAGCGACAGGACACAAAAGCGAAAGAGAGAGACAGATGTATTGACTCTGCCAGGACGAACGGGCTAAAACGCAGATGAAACGTCTGAGTAATTCTTGGCAGAACAAGAAGCAGAGAATTGGCCAGCCCTGTAGTCCGTGCAGTGCTATCGATCACAGTCACACACTGCGGAGCGGCAGAGGGTGTGGGTGGAATACTCTCTGTTCCCCGTGCTAGCTGGCTGGAAAACGCTGCTTCCATTTTCTGCTCGCTGGCAGCTTCCTATCCCCCTCCCCAAATCTTTCGGATTCGAAGACGACGGCGGCAGCAAAGCGGAAATCTCAATTAAAGCACACCCAATAATGCCTATAGTCATTCCTTGAGAGGTGGCAAACAAAATGAACCTTTTTATCCAATTTACCTTTTATTTAAAGTGGAAATTTCCTTTAAGCGGAAAGGCAATTAAGTGAAATCAACTGAGCATTCAAATCTCTGTATCATGAGGGAGGGGGAAAAAAGGCAAGAATGGAAAGATTACAAGGAGAATGAGAGCAGATTTACTTGGTTGCATGCGAAATCTCTGATGAATTTCGAAGGTATTAATGTGCAGAGTTCCTGTAATTTAGTTCCCTAATAGATCCTGCGTCTCGGCACCCGTCGCTTCTGCTCAGCCCTTCACAGCCGGCACCGGGGCGCAGCCTTTTCATTCGGCATTCAAAAAACCCTCCGGTTGCCTTCTGCCTGAAAAACAACGAGCAGATATTTAGACTTCAGAGTGATAGACTGAAAAGTTGGTGGCGCTGAAATTGCTAGCGTAACCCTTGAAGAGTTAGAAGTTTGGCTAGTGGCAGCTTGACTTACGCATCTTCCTCACTCTCTCTCTCGTCCTGCAGGTTCTCCCCCATCACCATCGATAGCATGACCAGTCTAGTAGGGATGAATATCCCCGGTCACACAGGAACGGGCTGGTGCATCTTTGTCTACAACCTGTCTCCGGACTCGGATGAGAGTGTCCTGTGGCAGCTCTTTGGACCGTTCGGCGCTGTTAACAACGTCAAGGTGATCCGTGACTTCAACACCAACAAGTGCAAGGGGTTCGGTTTCGTCACCATGACGAACTACGACGAAGCGGCCATGGCCATCGCCAGTCTGAATGGGTATCGGTTGGGTGACCGTGTCTTGCAAGTGTCTTTCAAGACCAGCAAGACCCACAAGTCCTGAACTCCCCTCCCATCACTTGTGTAGCTCCTTACAGCTCCTCTAATACTAAAAACCCACCTCTGCCCACTCAGCTACTCAAAACAGGAACACACCCGACCAACGAACCCACAAAAAAGAACTGGATATGGCTTATAATATAACTTTGGACCTATAAGCCAACGTTGCCTAAGTATTACAAAATGACAAATTGAGAATATTCATTATTTGGAGACCCTGGAAGTGGTACAGGGATTCTGTTGTATATCTTTTTGAGTTCTCGTGATTGTTTTTACTTTATTCTTTTTTTTTTCTCTGTAAACAGTAGCAAAACCAGACCGCCCTTATTTTGAAGAAGAAAATGTCCTTCTTTAGATCGAACTTTCTTGGTGTCGATTCAGGATTTTTTCTTTCTTTTTTAAATCCGGATCCACTGTCGTTAGAATAACGCCTCCCTGGTAAGAGAACAGGAGGGAGCTCTTTTTAAAAAAAGAAGAAAAAAAATCGTGATCATTCATTCATTTGTTTTGGTGTAAATTGTTTGAGATCCCCAAAATGTCATTCATCAAAAATGAATTGACAGGGATGAGGCCATCCCTTTTCTCTAATGCAGAAGATGTTTCTAGCATAGTTTTGGTTTTGTACTGCAAACAAAACACACGTCTGTCCTCACGGGGAATTCAGGGGGAAGGGGCGAGGGAAGGGATGGGCTAGCGCTCCTGATGACACGTTGCGTCAAAAAAAATAAAAATACCTACACACACACACACACTGTTGCCAAAGAGAAAATCTCTTTGCTTGAAAATGCGTTTAGAAAAAATGAAAAAATAAAGAGAAAGAAGATCTATTTTTATAAATAATGATTAAAATAATTATTGAAGAATTTTTACAAGAATCTGGATTTGAAAAAAGAGAAAAATATTTTGACTGGCTAATTAGGGACGGGGGGAGGGATCAGGTGCCACCTTGTCTTGTTCGTTCTGCCGTGGTACTTTTTAGGATCCAAGGTCATTTGTTTTTCGGGGAGAACCGTATTGGCAATGGAAGAATTTTGTAGATGGAAGAATTTATCAAGGGATGCAAATTCAGGCAGGTAATTTTTCATAGCAGTAATTATTCAACAGCGATACCCAATAGGAGAGGGAGAGGGGTCTTCCCAGGCTAACCACATCTTCACAGTCAAGAGCCCAAAGCAAGGCCACTCATTGTCCACTCATTTACTTTAGATCATCTGTCTTTGGGATATAAGTAATAAAGATACGCGCGTGCACACACACTTCTTTCTCCATTCGGACGACATAAACATGGTTATGTTTAATTCGCTATGATTTCGTGATATCGCATTCGAGATGTACTTCCTTTAGCGATCAACAGTAGGTGCTATATTACATGGTTCACATATCTTAAATATCCAACTTTGTTGTTCTTCGTGTTGTTTAGAGAGAAAAAAAAGAAAATTTCGATGTTGGCATTATATTAAGCTGCTGTTTTTCTTCTTTCGTTGACGTTTATTCTTTCGAAATCGTCGTCGTAGGTTGCCGTCTGGTTTGGAGAAACCCCAGATAAACAAACTCGGGCATCTATGACGATGTTCCTTTGGCTTGCTTACTTCTAGGTTATTTGCTGAGTGTACAGCGTTTGTCGAAATTCAGCGATAATTAGCTAGTTCTGTTAGTCTAGTATTTGTTTCCTCAAAGGATCTATTATGACTGTGTCTTTCTTTGTTGTGTACAAATAGATGATATATAGTCAACATTTTCTGTTCCAATATCTATATCTATCTGAGTTGTCACTGTTTTTCGTTCGGGATTGTCTTTTTTCATATGAAAACCTTATGAAGTGATGGTTCAGTTACTTAGAAAAACTCGTGAGGAAACCTGTTTAATATGTTGTCATGTCGCTTGTGAAGATAAAGAAAAAAACGCAAAAAAAAGAACTGAAAAATTGGATCGATTTATTTGATTTAATGCCGCAGCAAAAGAAATCGAACAAAAAGCTTCTTGAGAAAAATCTGTATTTATTTATTGATCGATTGATTGTCTCATTGATTAAATTATTTATTTATCTCGATTTATTTATTTATTTACTTGTTCCTTTCTTATGTTGTCTGTGTTTTTGTGTGATTCTGGTACAGGGAGGGGGGATCTTTCTGAGCTAAAGGGAACAAATGACTAGGGGAGACGCTCTTCCATTAGTCCTGTGCACTGAGACATTTTAGTACGTTTGTGCTTTGTACCAATATATCAAAATTACAAAATAAAAAATTTTAAAAGTCAAAAGCGAAAAAAATGTCAAGAGGGTTGGTGAGGCTCTTCCCTTATTAATAGAAACAGTTACTCGCTATGCATAACCTAGCCGATAGTTCAATTTGCTATTGCTTTTTTCTTGTCTTGTTAAACATAAATCTTTAAATCTTTTTCAATAAAGTTTAGTCTTAATAGAATGTTATAACAGTTGTTCTGGTTCAATATAACCTGTGATAAGTTTGTGTAGTTTTAAAAGCCACTTCCCGCCCTCCCTCCACACACTACCGTTGCTTTGTGATTAAACTTTATGCAAAAATGTGGGTCTGAAATGTAGTTTCTCATGGATCTCGACGACGTTCATGTCAGGCTTTGCTGCCCTAATTTGATTGATCGATATGTGTCCATTGTTTTAGTATGATTCATCGACTCATCTGAACTGTAACCTTCATTACAACCACATTGATACTTCAAAAAAAGGAGAAAAAAAAGCATTGACTCTGATTGTACTGGTTGAACAAAAATAGCTATAGCAGATCATATTTGATAGATGACACCTGTTATATATTTTCTAAGATATAGTCTATTTTGAGAGGTAAACCTCCTGAATGGAGAACTCGGCTCTTGTTAAGACCGGTGTGAATGCTGGAGAACGAAAAACAAAAGTCACTTTCATGAGCAGTCTTACATTCCTCCACCTCTAATGCCATCCATCCTCCTCTGCTCCATCTCTAAGGGGGCGGCGCCGGTGGCGGCACAGCCCTTCTCAAACCCCGCTGCGGCTGGGAGTTTGAATTATGCAACGACCCCAGTAGAATGTTGTTCTGATGTACGAACAGATTTCCTGCATTATGTCCTCCTCTTTTGGTTAATGGCATCACCCTCCGCATGTCTGAGCGTGGATGACTGCATGGGAGAGCGTCTAGGACGCGTGAGAGTTTGCGGGGGTGTTGGAAACGCGGGGCCATGCCTCTATAGTGCGAGCCCATATCGCAGTGTCTCTCCCCCTGTAGCGCCTTATAGTGGCAGCCTGCCAATAGGAACCCATCAGCCAGTAGTGTAGGAGGGAAGGCAAAGTGAGGAACAAGGCTCTTGTCATAATTCATTTTCTCCTGAAATGTGTTTGTTTACTATCTGAAAAATCTATAAATCTTTAAAGACAAAAAAAAAAAAAGGAAAAAAAAAGTTCACCGGACCAAGCTGGTCCCTCCTACTTACGTTATTACTTATCTATAGATTATTGATTATTGTTACTATGATTAATATTATTCTCATTATCCTTATTCTTATTACGAATCAAATTACTGCGATGAATGACTTCATGTTATCCTTGCTAGTTTAGGTCATTTCTGAAACTGGAAACAAAATATGGAAAAAATACTTGCTGTAAATGTTTTTTTCTTTTTCATAAAACTGTTGTGTTTGAATTATTTGTACTTTTGAATGTTGGGACAATAAAATAAGGTGTTGAAAGCTGTGTGCTACCATGTCGTGTTCAAAAAAAAAAAAGAGGTTTGCTCCTCACATAACACGAGCTGATTTAACTAATACCGACTAATCTTTAAAATATTCCCAGGAAGTTTCATTTTCTCAAGGCCCCAGAGGCACCAAATGTCATTTGAGCTGCACGTTTTTGATAAGAATTTGATCAGCTATCCCAATGAGCGTGAATGCCAGCGTGATTACTCACACAAAAGTTGAGGTTCAGAAAGAGGCACGGAAACTTCCAGTAGGTTATTACATTAAGCATATCCCTCTCCTTGGCTGTACTACAAAACAGACAGATGTGATGAAATGAGACGTGAGAGCACAGCGCCCCCTGTATCATTACTGTAGAATCACTGTAACTCTCTGCCATTCAAATACTACAAGCAGCCATGCTTTTAAAAAGTTTTTAATTAAAAAGGTTTGTTAAATAAATAAACTGTAGTATGGTATGATTAAATATGATTATATGAAACTGCATTATATAATTATATGAACAATATGATTCAAATGCTGCACACTCACATGAGAGGAAGAGTTCAGTCACATCAGTCTTCTTTAAAAATCTCTAGTCTCCTAGCATTAATAAAAACAATAATAAATAGTGTTATATAGTGCTTTCAGCTAGTGCTCAAGACATTTTTATAAAGTATATCTAAACAGAACAATCAAAATATCAATCAAAAACAAGGCTAAATTTGAAGAATGCAGAATTACAATTACATTAAATGAACTGAATGCAATTTTTAACTAGAGAGCTTTGAAAAACTTTCAGTGATGGATTCACAAAGTCTTGTCTGAAAGTTTCTTTAAAACCTTTTAAAGTATAAAAGTTTTATAAACCTTATAGACAGATATACAAACAGGTAACTGAAGCTGAAACTGAAGAAGAGACAAAGAAAATGTAATGAGTGCATCTTTAACTAAAAGTATACAAATCCATAATTAAATGATCACAGTTGAAACACCTAACAACACTTGTCATTTCATAACTAGAAAAGGAAGATTCATCTAAACAAACTTTCAATGTCTTGTCTGTCTAAAGTCTTGACTGAAAGTTAAAGATGTTTAAAAATTCTTGAAGTATAAAGATTCTAGGCCTAGGAAGATAAACATTTAAATAGATAAGCACTTAATTTCCCAGAAATCCATTACCTGAGCTAAATTAACTTCCTTTAATTCCAGTTAAACTTTCTGCGAGATCACACTTCAAATTCCAGCTCAAAATAGTCCAAAAGAAAATGATAAACAAACAGTTTTTGTAAAAAGCAGCAACAGTTAAACTTCACACACAGTTAAACTTTCCATCAGGCCATCAGGTGTCCGTACAAAGTCCAAAACGGCTAAGATGAAGAAGAGCCACATGAAGAAAACTAACTGAGTCCATAACTAAAAAGTAAGCAAATATATTTGTATTTCATTTATCATCCCTGAAACAAAAACTACAGCCATATTCACTTAACAAACAACATTTGTCATGACGGTCGGTATGACTGTATATGCAATTTGCCTGCAGTGGCATTTATAATGTTGAAATGGGGCGTAGGATTCATTAGAACAAATTAGTATGGATGTGGGTGCTCTGATTCACCCCATGGATGGTTGGCCTCGGTTTGTGGCCTGTGTCCTTGGGGTGGGCAGGGCTCAATGCTGAGCTGAAGGGCAAAATGGGCGAGGGGTGTGATAAAGCCATCAGGTCGTTCCAAGTCTCTTCACACCGTTAAGGATTTAATGAGGCAAAAGCCCCGTTAAGGAAGAGAATCTGCATCATGAGTCATCGGCCTCCTCTTTAAAAATTCCTCTACTACCCACAGGCTCCTAACAAAGTCAGGGGATCTGATGTTCTGATATTGAATCTAACTGATGGGGCTCATATATTCACTACACAACGACTTCACCTTGTGAGGTATCTGCTGTGGAAAGACACGGCAGATGAGCAACGCACATATCCGCCGTCTGATTGCTGTCTTCCGTAAACATCTGGCATGATGCCATATGTGACTAATTATTATGCAATGCATCTCACAATCTATTTGCTCTGAAGATGAGTTATGTCATTCACCATGAAATGGAACATGAATACATTCAACAGCTAGACAGATCTCTCTTGATATGAACATATGACTGTACACACCTGTTGAACAAGTATCTTCATACATTCACCAATGCCAAATATCTAAAGACTAGTGTAGCCAATGACTAATATAATACTGATGTATTTTGGACACTTGCATCACACTAAAAAATAGCTACAAAATATTTAGTTTACATTACATTTATCGAGGAAAAGGGTGTTTGAGCTAAATATTTAAAATAATAATAATAATAATAATATATGCCATTTGCTATCGTAGTCTGTTGTGTAAATTTATTTGCATTATATCATTTTAATAATAACAAGAGTCCAAATATATAATATAATATATAATTATAGCAAACAAAATGGCCACAAATTTGAAATTAAACAAAACAAACTTTATTTCTTCAACTGTGCTATTTTTATAATTGCAACTTTACATTTCAAAATTATTTTAGCACTTTATACACCACAGATGCAACTTTATTGCTCATAATTTGCAGTTTCTCGTAAGTCGTAAGTGGGATTTTATAGTTCACAATTGCCATGTTATAACTTTTAAATAATTTATCTTAGATATTTTTTTATATCTTTACGGAAGTTCTAAGTGGCCATGCATTATTTTTTTCTTCTTCTTGTTTTCTCGT